TACAGGTTACTAGTGAATTACACGTAAACTAGGACAAAGATATTGTTACAGGTTACTAGTGAATTACACGTAAACTAGGACAAAGATACTGTTACAGGTTACTAGTGAATTACACATAAACATGGACAAAGATATTGTTACAGGTTACTAGTAAATTACACGTAAACTAGGACAAAGATATTGTTACAGGTTACTAGTGAATTACACGTAAACTAGGTCAAAGATATTGTTACAGGTTACTAGTAAATTACACGTAAACTAGGACAAAGATACTATTACAGGTTACTAGTGAATTACACGTAAACTAGGACAAAGATACTGTTACAGGTTACTAGTGAATTACATGTAAACAAGGACAAAGATATTGTTACAGGTTACTAGTAAATTACACGTAAACTAGGACAAAGATACTGTTACAGGTTACTAGTGAATTACACGTAAACTGGGACTTGCAACTGTATTATACTATTGAAACTGTATTATACTATGGCAACTGTATTATACTATGGCAACTGTATTATACTAGTGCAACTGTATTATACTATGGCAACTGTATTATACTATGGCAACTGTATTATACTATGGCAACTGTATTATACTAGTGCAACTGTATTATACTATTGCAATGTCATTCATTCATTATTTTCCTTTTAACATATACTTATTTAGTTAGACCATTGTAATCAGTAGTACTAGTGAATTAACTGTTAATATATATTTCATATAAAATATTTAATTGTAGCTTCTCCAGTGATTTCTGAAGTACCATTCCTGAACCTCCCTTCTCGTAATGGAGACTTGATGTTATCTGAGCAGCCCATCCCTATTAGTGAGATTGGTCCTATACCTCCACCACCGATGTTTTCTAGCCCATCACCAAAAGTCTGCAGTGTAGTCACTGATTCCTTAGGTAAATTACTATTTCTATTTTTATCCCTACTGTCTATAATTATTTATCTGCAACAGGTTTAAAACAATCATCAGTGTATTACATTTCTTATGGCTTTGAGATATTTTTATTCTTTCTTTTCTATAAAATGCTAAAAATTGAAATATGTAAATTGAGCTTAGCATTATGATGTATTATAATATTTTAATTTTTTAATACCTAAGTTTATAACACAAAGCACACACTAGTATCACCATAAATACGTGACAGATAATGATATTGTGTTATACAGTACTGAGAATCAGGAACTTAAACATTGGAAACAGATGTAACAGTATCTTTGTCCCAGTTTACGTGTAATTCACTAGTAACCTGTAACAGTATCTTTTATACTATTGCAACTGTATTGGCAACTGTATTTGCAACTGTATTATACTATTGAAACTGTATTATACTATTGAAACTGTATTATACTATTGCAACTGTATTATACTATTGAAACTGTATTATACTATGGCAATTGTATTTTAATACAGTTGCAAGTATAATACAGTTGCAATAGTATAATACAGTTGCAATAGTAAGATAAACATTTTACAGTTAAAAAAAGCATGCTTAAGAAGGCATCATTAGAAAGGTATAAAGTACTATATACAGTAAAATAGTGTAGCAACTTCCTGAAATATATATCAATAAGGAAAGATGTTAAATCCTTCATATAACAAAAATACCTAAAATTCACAAAACAGTGCTGGTAACTATAGATACGTTTTACAGAGTTACGCTTACAAAGTTAAGATGTTAAGCCATTAATTTCCTCGATGTGATAGAGTTCATTCTTCAACACTACTGGATATTATAACAACCTTTCAAGAGGTATAACATACAAAGGACATATACTAAACATATAATTTTGTAATGAGTTTATATAGCCAATTCCTCAGTAGTCCTGAGTACTATGACAACTGTTTAATTCTCTGGATATTGATGGTTCAAAGTGTGCATGTCATAACCTATTTATACACATACATTCAAATTATATAAACTACTTTGTTAACAGTTATGCCAATAAGCTTGGCATCAAAATATTTATAATTCTAGTTTGTATGATATTTAGGTTTTAATTTTTTTAATTTAAAAAAGGAAATATTTATATAAATCCTCATTCTTCACTTTTCTGTATCACACTACTATTCTATGCTCAGAATTCACTGTTTATGGGTTTCAGTGTACAACTAATTACAAACACACAGTATATATACTGACAAGACAGAATATAAAATTTGAACATCCAGTGTTCCAGCTTTACCAAGATATCACTATACTTAGTACACCTACATAACATTTCTCTCTGTCATTTAAAACATGTTATCATGTACTGACACTGGACATGTTATCAAGTCACTGACACTGGACATGTTATCAAGTCACTGACACTGGACATGTTATCAAGTCACTGACACTGGACATGTTATCAAGTCACTGACACTTGACATGAATCACATAAGTCCGATGATTATCTACTTTGTTTTGAAACTCAACACCAGTAACTCACAAAGAAATCTTTAAATGTGTTGACTAAAGTTATTGCTCTGAGCGTAACTCGCAAAGTAATCTTTAAATGTGTTGACTAAAGTTATTGCTCTGAGTGTAACTAACAAAGTAATCTTTAAATGTGTTGACTAAAGTTATTACTCTGAGCAGTAATTCACAAAGAAATCTTTAAATGTGTTGACTAAAGTTATTGCTCCGAGCAGTAACTCACAAAGAAATCTTTAAATGTGTTGACTAAAGTTATTGCTCCGAGCAGTAATTCACAAAGAAATCTTTAAATGTGTTGACTAAAGTTATTACTCCGAGCAGTAATGGAATTTTTTAAACCTATTTATAACTTAGCTAAAAGCCTGTCAAATTATAGTAGTTCTAGAAGCTGGTTCTATGACTTCATCATGATCTGATAAAGCTAATCCACCAACACTACTGGTTACTATGACAGCTGTTTAAGAGACATAACATACTTACAAAGTGAAGAGGCTGGACCCTTGATTTTTTGATGATCTAATACAGCTGATCCACCAACACAACTGGTTATCATGGGAACTGAACTTCCAGAGATTTGTCCAAATGTATCTCCAGCTGGACTTATTGCTTAAGAAATGAAGAAATTGACACATTTATAAAAATTTGTAAATGTTTCAACACCTTTAATCATTCTATCAATATGCAGCCTTACTTTAAACAAATATTTAAATATCAAAAAAAAATATATTTCCATACACTACATCCAAAACAAGTTAAGTTTCTTTGACTAATAAATATATAAATAAATAACCCACATAAAATTATGAGAAACATTTAACAAATATTTTATCAATAGTCATAGATCTGATCATTAAAATTCTCAAACTATCCAACTAAACGTTCTTATTAGTTATATGTTGTTGAATATGGTGAGGATTTTTGTCAGTTAACCCATCATCATACATCTATCTTTGTCTACTAGTTAAATATCTGCATCAATCAAATATTAGACACATCTACTTTCTATACGCCAATCTTTCTTCTTTATTTATATCTCACTCTCTAGCAATAATCTACTTCTCTCAGTTCTTTGTTAGCAGATCAAGACTCACCTTCTATGTGGTCATCATCAGATACATCTCTGTCTAGCAACAAAACATCTCTTTCAATCAGTTCCTCCTTCGTTGAATGTAGAGATATTTTTCTTTCCAGATCTGAAAGAGAAAAACCTCAGGTAACTTCCCTCACAAAGAATTTATATAATTATTAGGCAACAAGGAATTTAATGTTATATTAGTTCAAGCATGAACACTTTTGGTGGTACTTTAAAACTTAACAAGTCAATCACTTAAGTAGGCAATATAATGTGTCTAGCATATTTATCAATAATATACAATGGAGTATAGCTTTATCAAAAAGGCAAAATATTTTAATTGCTAATCCCACAGTAAGCTTACCAGAATGAATGCTATACTTAACTTGACAATCATGAACAACTAGTAGCTTTGTTATATGCACTAACAAAGATCCTCCAACCATGTGCAGCATTACTTTGTTAGCTTCATTGGGATAACAGAACAGCATGGCATGTCACTTCCCATGCAGGACTATTGAATACTGGCATAATTTTTTTTTAGAAATTTACCTCTACTGGCCAGCTTCCTGACATTAACAAAAGTATTTTCAACATGTTATCTAATTTGTAGTTCTAGATGTCAAAAAGATCTGGGTCATACCCAAAAAATTCTTGAAAGTTTCGTGTCGATCCGAAATCATGAAGCAAGCACTTAGTCAAGAGCAAAGACCAAAATTGAAATTCATATTTGTAAAAAGGAATAAAGGTCTCAGAATCCCTCTGGGGTACAAGAAGAAACTCTTTAATGTTTAATGGTGATCTAGATATCAGAACAGACACAAACCACAAAACTGAATAACCATATTTGTTTCAAAACAAACAAATATTGCACTGTAATAAACTATAAATGTATCAATGTTTGCTTAGTGAAAACAAAATAATTCCTTTTTTTTGTTATAAACTACCATCAGTAACATTTCTTTACTACTAACGACAACGTACTGTTTTAATAAATTTGGCAAACCACTATTTATATATATTATCCAGAAATACAGTATTGTTAATTATAATCAAACAGTAACAATAACTACAGTTCCTCATAAAAACTCATTGGTGTTGAACCTTCTGAAAAAAGTAATACCACCTAAACAGTGCAGAAAATCATAATGCATTCCTAAATATTTAGGACATGAAATTTAACTCTAGAATTACTGAGGGTGTTCGTATGAATCCCATCAGTTTTTTAAACACTTTTTTATAAACCCTTTTATGCAGAAAATTTTTACTCCAATATACCCCGTTAAATACTGTTGGGATTATTTTAAAAACATGTATAGAAAATGGGTTTTTTTTGCTCAATTTGTTTGTAAGTTCTTTACACTGAGTACTGCAGCATGCAAAAACATAATATTGGTATAGAAACAAATCTGTGATTTGAAGGTTCGGGAATATAACATTGTCAGCTAGCTTCCTAACAGAAAATAGTAATCAGTTATTTTAAAACTGAGGATAAACAGCACTGTACTTGAACTGCACAATGTGCTAGTAAAAAATTAGTGTACAGAATACACCATCTATCAAAGAAACAGAACACGCGTCCATGGTGTATGGGTCATAATGATTCTGTAGCATCACGAAGGCTTGTTATGAAACAACATTAAGTTGGGGAATTATTGTTAAAAGATGAATGTAAGAAAAAGTTAATAAAATTTGTGTATTTTACTGATACAGATTAATTCACTTAATGTAACTACTTGGGAAGAAAGATAGTTGACAGAAGTATTATTTAGTTGCATCATAATTTAAAAACATCTAATAGAATTTATGAGTGATCTAATAAGATTTACAAGAGTGATCTAATAAATTTACAAGAGTGATCTAATAAGATTTACAAGAGTGATCTAATAAAATTTATGAGTGATCTAATAAGATTTACAAGAGTGATCTAATAAGATTTACAAGAGTGATCTAATAGGATTTACAAGTGATCTAATAAGATTTACTAGAGTGATGTAATGAGATTTACAAGAGCGATCTAATAACATTTACAAGGGCGATCTAATGAGATTTACAAGAGTGATCTAATAGGATTTACAAGTGATCTAATAAGATTTACAAGAGCGATCTAATGAGATTTACAAGTGATCTAAGAAGATTTACAAGAGTGATCTAAGAAGATTTGCAAGAGTGATCTAATATGATTCATACACATATACTAGTTCTTCAAGAATAAGCTAGTTCATGTTAATTTTATGCTTTACTAGGATCACATATGTGTCTTTCAAGTAAAGTTCTGGTTTTAGTTTTGTTAAGAGAACTGGGTGAAATGTCTAATGTGTGTGTGAGTCATAGCAATTCTATGTTTATTTTATTTAAATAACTGACAATAAATGTCATTCCTGCAGTAACGTACGTTGTTTGTTTTAGAGCCAAGCTACACTGGGCTATCTACTATGTCAACCACAGGGAATCAAATACCAGATGGGTATGGATGTTCTGAGTATGATTAATAAACAAGACTGTTGTTATCACTGCCTCAGTGTGATTTATCAGTAACCTTAGTGACAGCAGGGTATGGATGTTCTGAGTATGATTAATGAAGAAGACTGTTGTTATCATTGCCTCAATGTGATTTATAGGTATCCTTAGTGACATCATGGTATGGATGTTCTGAGTATGATTAATAAACAAGACTGTTGTTATCATTGCCTCAGTGTGATTTATCAGTAACCTTAGTGACAACAAGGAATGGTGTTCTGAGTATGATTAATAAACAAGACTGTTGTTATCACTGCCTCAGTGTGATTTATCGGTAACCTTAGTGACAGCAGGGTATGGATGTTCTGAGTATGATTAATAAACAAGACTGTTGTTATCATTGCCTCAGTGTGATTTATCAGAAATCTTAGTAACATAGGGGTATGGATGTTCTGAGTATGATTAATAAACAAGACTGTTGTTATCATTGCCTCAGTGTGATTTATCAGAAATCTTAGTAACATAGGGGTATGGATGTTCTGAGTATGATTAATAAACAAGACCGTTGTTATCACTGCCTCAGTGTGATTTATCAGTAAACTTAGTGACATCACAGTATGGATGTTCTGAGTATGATTAATAAAGAAGACTTTGTTATCACTGCCTCAGTGTGATTTATCAGTAACCTTAGTGACAGCAAGGTATGGATGTTCTGAGTATGATTAATAAACAAGACTGTTGTTATCACTGCCTCAGTGTGATTTATCACTAACGAAAGTAAAAGCATACACTGAAGAACACCCAATAAACATGTTGTGGGTCAAGAAATTGAGAAGTTATATGAAAAATGGAATATGAAGACTATTAATGTTCTGATAGCCTTTATATGCATAAGCAATAACTCAACTCAGGTACAACAGAATCTGGTTGAAGATTTAAAATGGAACATATGTGAGAGAAAAATGAAAGGAAATCAGCAAAAAACTGTAAAGATTAGGCCTAGCAGACACAGAAGGTGAATGTGCTCGAAAAAAAATATTATTGTGTTCAAAATCACGAGAAAATGGCAGATGTTATACTTATTGAGCATGAAACCTGTCAGAAACCAATTTGGTATGAACGACCTGAGTACATTGATCAATAAAGGCTGACAAAGCAGCCAGGACTTTACTCTGAATGCTAGAGGAAACCTAGTTGTAAAAGTTCCAATATTGTTGGAAATATTTGCATCAGAATTCATTGTAGCAAAGTTAATAGCATGACTATCAAATCTGGATTATGGCACAAAAGCAGAGCTTATGAACATTCTACTGACACAAGTGCAATAATTGATGTGGAAGTTTGGAGAGTTGAGAACTATGGGTAAGTTCACACGTGATCTACATTGTGTTAAGAATGTCCAAAAAGTTAGTCATATGGTTGTTGAATAGCAACTCCACAATGAGAGGCTTTTCATATTTGAAAGGTAAGTTAACCTGTTTCATGATGGCCACTGTATGCTTGTGTGTGAGTGGACAGAGCATGGATAGTGTTGTTCCAACTGCATGGTGACAGGAAGGTTCACAGGTGGTAGACTTATGCTGTGAGAAACTACCTTATATGACGAACTACTGGTCTGTACATCAAAATTTGTGTCAACTTAAAACTTGTGATTTATTTATTTAATTTTGTGTTTTATACTATGTTCCACAGAATGAAAACTTTCAGCCCAACTTTTACAAAAGTAATCAGCATATTATATTTACAAAATTCCTAAATATAACTATAAAAAAAACATTTAGTGCTTGAGAATCATACTGTCTGACATGCTCAGGCATGTAAAAATTTGAAGGAAGCACATTAAAAAAGTCTGCTAGTGAAATTTCAGTGCTCTTAAATAAAAAAAAACAATGATTTATTGATGATTATTACTGATTAAAATTATATTTGTATCTTGTGTTTAGCAGTTATCTACGTGAACATCAAGTGGTCGAGAGTAAGTGATCAATGATACCATTTGAATCTAGGTGAACACAAAGTGCTCAAGAGTAAGTGATCACTGATACTATTTGTATCTAGGTGAACATAAAGTGGTCAAGAGTAAGTGATCAATGATACCATTTGAATCCAGGTGAACATAAAGTGGTCAAGAGTAAGTGATCAATGATACCATTTGAATCCAGGTGAACATAAAGTGGTCAAGAGTAGGTGATCAATGATACCATTTGTATCTAGGTGAACATAAAGTAGTCGAGAGTAAGTGATCAATGATACCATTTGAATCCAGGTGAACATAAAGTGGTCAAGAGTAGGCGATCAATGATACCATTTGTATCTAGGTGAACATAAAGTAGTCGAGAGTAAGTGATCAATGATACCATTTGAAACTGGGTGAACATAAAGTGGTCAAGAGTAAGTGATCAATGATACCATTTGAATCTAGGTGAACATATGGTAGTAGAGAGTAAGTGATCAATGATACCATTTGAATCCAGGTGAACATAAAGTGGTCAAAAGTAGGTGATCAATAATACCATTCGTATCTGTGCGAACACAAAGTGCTCAAGAGTAAGTGATCACTGATACCATTTGAATCTAGGTGAACACAAAGTGCTCAAGAGTAAGTGATCACTGATACCATTTGAAACTTGGTGAACATAAAGTGGTCAAGAGTAAGTGACCACTGATACCATTTGAATCTAGGTGAACACAAAGTGCTCAAGAGTAAGTGATCACTGATACCATTTGAATCTAGGTGAACACAAAGTGCTCAAGAGTAAGTGATCACTGATACCATTTGAAACTTGGTGAACATAAAGTGGTCAAGAGTAAGTGACCACTGATACCATTTGAATCTAGGTGAACACAAAGTGCTCAAGAGTAAGTGATCACTGATACCATTTGAATCTAGGTGAACACAAAGTGCTCAAGAGTAAGTGATCACTGATACC